GTATATCGTTTACATGTAGCGCATCAATTCTGCATGTTATGTAAGACTCGCTCTCGCTCTTTGCGCGTGTGAGAGAAAGCGACGGCGAGTCGTGCGCCTTCACACTAGAGCTTACGCCAAATACACAAACACAGGTAAGCATATCACAGATCGCTTGGCGGAGAGTGAAACTCTGAAGCGCTCAGTCAGAGTGTTCTGTGAGTGAAAATATATCTGTGCTAATCATATACTCAGCCTCCAACTCACACACTGGCGAGTAAAATCTGAGAATTTATTAGCAATTGGCTAATATTAGACATCATTTAGTCGCCCAGAGTGAAGATTTAGTCGCATATGCGAGTGATTTACTCGCAATGTAGAGGGTTGAGTCTTCATCACTGAAGCTTGTTGAAAATCAAATGTTGTGTGATAAAGCATATGTGCACAATCAGAGGGCAGGTCAAACACACTCGCTCGCTGTATGATCCTCTCTTTATATCCACCTCTCCCTTCAGGCCAGCGTCCTTTCAATACACAAGCACTAATGCAGAGCCCATCATGGGCGGCTTAGTGTTCAGTAGCTAGACTTAATCAGGACTTATGAAGAGCAGCATGTCTATATGGAGATTGTTAGAGAGGGCCGTGTAAGCAGAACTGATCCCAGAGCGATGTGGCCGCTGTCTGAGCAGCAGCTGGCAGGGACTGGCGCATCTCATTCTCTCTCTCTCTCTCTGGTCTCTCATTACTCCTTTGTAATGACTGGAGCTGAAGGTTGCAATCTCAATTTGTGCCGTCTGTTTCTGAAGCAGACAGTTGGCCGTCATCTTAACGTTTGACCTTAGAGAGGTGACATGGCTAAGTCTTGCCAATCTAATATTGTTTCACTAAAAGGAGTAGGTCATCCAAAATGAAAATTCTGTCATCAGACTCACCCTCATGTCGTTCCAAACCCGATTGACTTTATTTATTTTTTGACAGATCGTGAATGATAGTTCAAAGTGTCCATGTCTGTCAAGCTGTAAAAATTTAGATCCAGATATTCATCAGACGTTTCTCATTTTGTGTTCCACTGAAAACTAAGTTGGAATGACTAGAGGTTAAGTAAATGACTGGATTTTCATTTTTAGGTGGACTTTTCACTTTTCTGCTAATATTCTTGCAGTATTTGTGGTGGTGAGAAACTCATGGCCTTTCAAAATCGTGACAAAACGTTTAAAATACACACTGGAGTGTAAATGTTTCATCAGAGTGAAAGCAATGTGGTTTGTCTTCACAACAGCGATCTGTTTGTTTGAATTGTAAAAGCAGAACTTGCGTATACCATGTGATAGAGATCGTTTGAAACAAAGTTGAATTGCAAAGGTACTGTTGCTTAACAATATAATCTCATGAGTTTCCATGAAGTTGTTCTGCAGTTTCTGTTTCATGTGTGCTATTCTGAATGTTGTTTAAAAAAACTAAATTTTGTTCTAAAGTGAAACAGTTTTGTTTTAGATCATTATCACCTGTGTCCAATCAAAATAAATCCACACATTGCACATTTCTAAACATGAATTTGTGAAGTTTTTGTGTTTTGAAGTTCACTCTTATGTTTTTTGTGGTGTGACTAATAAATTTTAGAAGTATTTTGTCTACACCTTTGTTTAAAAAGTTTAGGGTCAGTAAGATGTTTTGTTGTTGTTTAAATAAATTAATACTTTTAATCAGTAAGGACTAGTGCTGTCAAACGATTAATCGCGATTAATCGCATCCAAAATAAAAGTTTTTGTTTACATAATATATGTATGTGTACTGTGTAAATTTATTTTATATATATATATACAGTGGGTACGGAAAGTATTCAGACCCCCTTAAATTTTTCACTCTTTGTTATATTGCAGCACATGCATGTATATATTTTGAAAATATTTACATGTATATATTTATATTCTTTTTTTATATTATATATAAACATATTTAATATATAAACATAACATATTTTTCTTAAATATATACATGCATGTGTTTGTGTAATAAATAATAAATATACACAGTATACACACATATATTATGTAAACAAAAATGCAGTTATTTTGGATGCAATTAATCGCGATTAATCGTTTGACAGCACTAGTAAGGACACATTAAATTGACCAAAAATGGCGTTAAAGACTTTTACATTGTTACTAAAAAATCTGATTCAAATAAATGCTGTTGTTTGGAATTTTTTTGTAATGTTTTACATTCATCAAGGAATCCTGAAATATGTATCATGGTTTTCACACAAACAAGAGTTTTTATTATTGATAATAAGAAATGTTTCTTGGGTACCAAATCAGCATATGATTTCTGAATTACACTGGTGTAATTAATAATAATAATAATAATTGCAGCCTTGGTGAGCATAAGAGACTGAAAAAACAAACAAACAAACTTTTGAACTGTAGTGTAGTCTATAAAACCATAATACTTTTTGTATTATGTTTATACAAGAATTTTAAAATGTATATTTAAAATCACTTTTGGGTTGCTGTGTTTGAATATGCTGGATGTTATGTCAACTGTCCAAATGCATTTTTTCCCCCTCATCCTCATGCTGTATTTTTCGGTTTACAGCCTCACGAAGGAGAGCATCATTGACGTGGAGGCCGTGGTGAAGAAGGTGGAGCAGAAGATAGAGAGCTGTTCCCAGCAGGATGTGGAGCTCCATGTGGAGAGGGTAGAGATCTGAGATTCATCTCTTTTATTTGACTGAGAGAGCATTAGGGTCTTTATATCTATCCCCACAAGAAGACCAGTGGAATTTGTTTTGGCCTTATATGTACTATAACCAATGAATGGTACCAAACCTAATTGCAGGTACAATTCACCTGTAGTAACATGCTGTTAAATTGGTAATTCACTCCAAAATGAATATATGACCATCATTTTCTGACCCTCATGTTGTTTCAGACCTGTATGACTTACTTTCTTATGTGGAACACAAAAGGAGCAGTTTTGCAGAATGTTTACGAGCTGCTTTAGTTCATGCAGTGAAAGTGGAGGGGACCAGAGACAACCGAGTTCACTATTTCACATTCATTGTATGGAAAAAAGCAGCTTGGACATTCTGCTAGATGACGACTTTTGTTTTGTATCTAATAATAACCTAAACTCTCGTTCCCTATTCTGTGTCTTTGTCTCAGATCTTTGTGATCAGCCAGTCTGAGGCCAGACTTCCTCTTCAGCTTGAAGATGCTGTCAGGCCAGAGGGAGAAGGAGACGAGGTGAGAAACAATGGGTGAGAAAGTTGAAAAGTGGGTAATGAGAGAAGAGCAGAACACAAATGAAAGCTTAAAATGTTAAACAGATCCCTCAGTTCAGTGTTATGATAATCCACAGTCAAAGTTCTCTTAGACAAGTTGAGTTAAAAGAGGTTGTTTTCTCTCTATTTCTATATCTAAATTATTTTTGGGTTTTTTCTGTTAGGAATGGAATACAAGCATACTGCACAGTATATACACAGCATAGTATGCATTAAAGGGATAGTTCACCCAAAAAATGGAAATTCTGTCATCATTTACTCAACCTCAAGTGGTTCCAAACATGCCACTGACTTCCATATTATGGAAAAAAAAATACTGTGGAAGTCAATGGGGACCAAAAACTGTTTGGTTACACACATTCTTCAAAATATCTTCCTTTGTGTTCAGCAGACTAAGTAAATAATGATTTTTATTTCTTTTTTAAGTGAACTATCCCTTAAAGCAGCATCATTCATGTTGTTTTAAGGCGCTATACAAATAAAAATAACCTTCACTTAAACAGTAGTAAGCTACATTGTTGAGAGCATTGCATTATGGTATATAGTATTCTATACGGTGTAATTCGTTGTGTATTTCTCATAGCAAATGCAGCAGTTCATCCAGGCATACCATACATGCAGAAAATGTACATACTTTACACAGTATACATTCTGCACACTACAGAAATGACTGTTGTGAACATGGCTTCTGTCTTTGCCTGTCTTTCTTGACATCAGACAGCTAATGGTGGTGCAGTGTTTATGTAGTAAGAAGAAACCAGCTGCAGTTGCTATCCAGGTGTTCTCTGCAGGGATTCCACGATGTCAGTCAGACAGAGCATCTGCCGCCTCATTACGCTTGTGTCTTATCGGGCGGTCTGAGGATGAGCAGCCTGTTGATCAGTCTTCAGCTCCTGCAGGCTTTATGAAGGAAACATAACTCTTAGAGCTCAGGGGCCTTGGGGCCTCTGCAAGAGAAATAATTTGAATCTAGATTCAGATTTATACATTGCCATTCGAAAGTGTTGAATCATTACAATTTTAAGATATTTTTTATTGTTCATCAGGATGCTTCTTTCTTCCATGCGATGAATGCCTCTGGTCATTTATTTTCATTGTATGGAAAAGAAGAACGACCTGCCTGACATCTTTTCTGCTCTATGGAACAGGGTTCCACTATAAGGATGGTTTTCTGTGATGTACTTCAAATTGTTGTTGGAAACTCTGCTGATTTGTCACTACATCTCATGGCAGTGATCTAGCTTCTGACATTGGTGAAGTTTTGTTGAATTTGCTAAATGTCTTGTGATAGTCCTGAAAGCATCAGTAAATACACTCCAGAGTCCAGTCAGTAATGTTGTGCATTGTATGCTGTTATTTTCCAGCAACATTGTGTTTATGAATTTAAAGAGTTGCTTCAAAAGTTTTTTTTTTCTTTCTGTTTTATGCTCATCAGTATTAATTTCTTAAAAGAAAATACTCCAAACTTTTGGGTAGTGGTGTATATTATACCTGTATAATTTCCAACTTGTAGTAAACTTTCTTTTTGTAAATGTTCTTTTGCTGGCAGAAAAAAGAATATTAAGCCATGATTAAGAAGAAAAAAAAATCATATAGGTTTGGAATGACATGACATTTTGGACCAATCAGATTGATTTGTGAGCTATCAACAGAATTTTGTAGAAATTCTTTTTTGAGTAATCATGACCTTTTCTGTTTTTCTTTCAGGAGGGAAGAGCCACTGTCAATCAGGACACTAGACTGGACAACAGAGTTATCGATCTGAGGGTAAGTCTGTATGCATCTCTCGCTGATTTCATTCAAGATTAATTATCTGTCCAGGGGTCAGGATTTGGTTGGTTAGCATTGTCCTGTAAATAGTCACATGACATTTATGTCTCAGGTGATTGGCCCTGTACCAGTCAAGCAAATGCCAATAGACCTAAGTCAGGTTAGTTGCCTTATTGAATGTAACAGTGATAAAAAATGAGGCTGTGAGAAATAGACTTGCTGTATTTAACAATGGCACACAGTGAAAGTCCTGGATCATAAAATATTTTACAATTTACAACTTTCAAAATTATTTTATAGATTTGTCTACTGAATGTTTTTTTTCGGAAAGACATTTAATCAGCTTAACAATTGGTATGTTGTTAAAGAACAGTACAGTCCATCAAACGCACTGTACTTCTGTACAATCCATTAAACACACTGTACAGCACATTTGTACAGTGCATTTGTACAGGTATGTTCGACTTCAGCTGCAGCTGAGGAGTTTCAGACATCGTCAGACGGACGTTTCAGATGTTTTCATGTAGCGACAGAAAACTATTTTCATTTAATACTTTATGTACTGCTTAATACTGCGGTTGTATGTACAAGAATAAAGTTCAACATAAGCATGTACTATCCAAATACCAATAAAGTGGGGTCTGTATATTTAATCCGTTTTATTTTGATAAGCATGACACAATTTAAAATTAAGTTTACATGAAAAGTTTTGTAAGCATTAGACGAACCAAAGTTTCAGAAACATGCGTTGTCATCAGTGAATCCAGCCAATCGTGCAGCCGCTTTGAAGAAAAACGCTTTTGCAGTACTTCGTTGGCATATATCACAGTGACGTGGCGTTGGTGCCATCTCAGTTCATACATAATTTCTAAATTGCTTGCACTGCTTCAAGTCAGATGCCAGTCAGCCTGCACAAGACCACATGAAGTTAAACACACCTATTTGGATGAATGGGAAAGTTAACGGATAGCTTGCTTCAGTTTCTACTGTATAGACCTCCTTGCTCTATCCTCCCAGACTTCCTGATATTGTGCAGCATGAAAAAAACGATAAGGTTCTGAAATAAAGGAGAATCCCCAATGAGTGTATTGTTCAGATTTATGAAGCCTTGATGTGGTTGTGGGACTCGAGCGCTGCAATTGGCCGCCTGTTCTTTGTAAGAGCACCTGTTTCTGAGACAATGTGTCTGTGTGAACAGGCCTGGCCTGCCTCACACATTTTCATTTTAGTGAACAGTAAAGTAATAAACAGTTTCCAGCGGTTGCAGGCTTTGCTTTGTCATAATGAAAGACCTCCGTGTCACGCACCCACACACACACACCTTGTGTTTTTTTTTTCTTTTCACACACCAAATGAGATTGAAATCTGGCAGTGCTATAGGACTGCCACAGCGCACCTTGCTCTGAGACAGCGGCCCGTTTTTTGAGAACTTCCAGAAAGTGAAGGCAGAAATCTGAGAGTGTGAGGCGGGGGAGTCAAACCACAGGACAACAGCTTTTTGTGCCTCTTCGCTTTTCACTGCAGCCTTGCGAACACTAGAGTGACGCACACAGCTCCTTTCTACACGCCCCCAGTGAGAAACGTGTGAGGACGCCAACTGAAACCTGCATGTTTACACACTCCGCTGATAGCAGCTTTGCATATTAACTGTACAACCACTCAGCTTCACAGACGAGTCGCTTAATGCCCTCGCAGCGCGCCGTGTTATCATGATCTGCACTAAGAATATAGACCGTGTGTCTTAAAGGGGTGGTTGATTGCGATTTCACTGTTTTAACGTTAGTTAGTGTGTAATGTTGCTGTTTGAGCATAAACAATATCTGCAAAGTTACGAAGCTGAAAGTTCAATGCAAACGGAGATATCGTCTTTTAAAATTCTGGCAGTTTAATGCCTACAAAAACAGCTGGTAGGGACTACAACAAGTTACTTCCCGGGTTCGTGACATTACAAACCCAGATAAACCCCGCCAGCAAAGGGGGTGAGGCCATGCTGCTCTGCTTTAGAGAAGAGGAAGAGATTCAGCTCAGCTCCGACAATGAACTGTTCCAATTATACTCTTATTTTCACATAGCTATGAGAAGCGTTAAACATGGACGCGCATGTGGTTGCTGTACTGTATTAAAACTTTAATCAGTATAAAACCGTATATTAAAAGCTAACATAAGCAGTAGCATTTACAAATGACAGCGTATCTAAAAGTATGAGACAACAACAAACAAAAAACATAGGCCTACCATTAAAAGCCGTGCTTGCACAGGTTCTGCACGATCCTCTTCAATAATATCCTCTGCTTCTCAATCGAGCTCAAACTGATAAGCAAATATAACGACGCCTTTGTTTACAATACAACCGGAGCACATGCCGCTGGAGAGGGGCGGGACGCTTAGACGCGCGCTAGAGGCGGTTTAGCCAATCATAACACACTGGGCTAGCTAACCAATCAGAGCCCATCACCTATTTCTGAGGGCGGGGCTTCATAAAAGCAGGAAATGATCAG